GTCGGTCTTTGGTGCGCAGCATCATTTTAACTATTTTCAAAGAATGCTCGGCAGAGGACAACAAGATTCCATGCATTTTCGATGTAATGCTTCTCTTCTGAGGTATACAAATTGGACGGAAAACAGATTCGATGACCTCACACTAATGTGTTTTGCGACAGCAACAATGAGCATTTCGAAAAGTCCAAATGAGTTCACGGAAAACAGCCTTACCGACTACTGGATTCAAAGCCGCAGCCACAGCATGAAGGTGCTCTTGTATTACTCTTGCATGCTGCTCATCTAAACAACCCGTAAATAATAACAAAACCCAAAAGTCAATAATCACAAACTTGTAGCAGACAGCTAAATGAATTACTATAAAGTCCCGGAGTGCAAAACCCCCGCAGGCACCCAAAATGTAATTCAACAGAAGCCGATCAAGTACAATTGTCCGCTCTGTTTGGGCAGAAGGGTTAGCGAACCTACCCAAGAAAGAAATGAAACTTCGGAAATGATGCTATTTTACCTACAATACTTTGAAATTTATAACAGTCCCTTCCAAATTTATAGCTCAAAACTTCTACGAATTCTCTACGAGGGGCGAAGGCAATCGGAAGTAGCTCAAGTGCTACCACTTGACAGCTCTGCTAGCTCGTACCAACAGTAAACTACCCGCTTTGGACTAATATGGTCCCTCTTTCGAGAGTTGCTCAACAAGCAAACTATGTTAGATCTCTTTTCCCCGGCATGAGCAAGTATCAATTTAACATTAAAACGGATGGAGGAAGAGTACAGGGACTGGTTGTCCCATCGGGCTAAGCGAACTGTTCATTTTTAGCACGAGAACAGGAATATCTGCTACAGTATACTGTACCGGGCCAGTAATTCGTAAATATGATAATGGTAAGAAATGTATACGACTTATTAGGCTGAAACACTTCTTAACAATTAAAATAATCTCATAAATTTTCTAATTTTCATTTCTTGCCTTCCTTTTTCTTTTTTTCCATACCTTCCTAACTTTCCATGAAATAATAAACCATGAATGGTATGAAAAATGTGCTTGCTCTAAAAGCATCTTACTTGGAAAATTTCTGTATAGCGCACTGACAAACATAGCGGGGCCGCGCTGCTGTTGCTGTCGCAGTGTCCCTATGAAATCTAAATACAGTCGCTCAGTCAGAAAGCATGTCAAAATACTTCAAAAGAAAACTATCCCAAAAAAAAAACTAAGAAAACTATCCTCCCAAAACTATCCTACTTATACAGGAATCCGGCTTGCACATTGCGACTGTTCACGTTTTTTTGATCAAAAATAACTGCAGCCCACAAATACAGAGAGAAAGGGAGAGCTGAAAGGCCAGGGGTGAAAAACACCAATTTATGCAATCATATCCTTCTGAAATGCTTATAAGCACTGCATCAGCCAAGATATCAACACCAAAAAAATTCTTGAACAGAGCCTAATTCCGTTGCTGTACTTAGACTTCAATTATCAACAACTTGCACTGAGATCCACGGTGAATAAAACTTAATTTATGGGGTAATTTAACCCATCCAGTTGCTGTTCAGGTAGCGCATCCCAAGCAAACAATCAATGTGAGCAACATGTGATCGGAGAACAGCGCAGCGAGATCACCGTCATCTGCTGATGTCATGCTCGAGCTACGAGAGCGAGCATTCCCGATCCCGGAAGAAGTGGGGTGGCAGGAGCTGAGAGAATTACAGGACAGACATTGCGTGCCATCTGCGCAACTTATTGGCACTGGTCAAAACGAAGTGCTGCATCTCAGATCTGGAGCAGTATCTAAATACTCCCAAAATCACATGGTCCAGAAAAAAAAAAAAATAAAAAATCAGGGGAAAAACAGGATTTCAGCGAATGAAACGAGCCGATCCAAGAAGCACAGAAAGTGTATTTGCAATCGATAGTACAGCACCATCATCGCACCAGCACCAACACCACGCCACAGCCCTCTCCCCCCTCCCCTCTTCCTTGTACCTACTGGACCGACCGATTGTTCAGCAACGGGACGCTTCTTTCCCGCACACATCATCATAAATTTAACTAGCCGAGACCGTGCACCGCTTTGTGTGTGTGTGTGTGTAGTGTTTGCACGTGTGTGTGTGTGTGTGTTTGTGTGCGTGTTTCCCATGTGCGCAAAGTGCCCAGCACTACTACTCATTACTTCAGTAACTCTTCGAAAACAGAGAACAGAGCACCGTTAGAGCCGCAAAACGAACAGCTGCTGCTGCTGCCGACTATCAACAAACAACCGAACAAAGTCGAAGTAAACTGTTAGCCAACAAGCGGTTCATTGTTAGTGAGACTGCCACTATTTAATATTTGGCACTTGAAATCGATGAAAAGACCAACAGCAAATGTCAGGCAATTGAGCCAAACCCCCACTTTTCTTGGGAAAATTTCCAGCGAAGAAATACTAGCACAAATCTTCTGCACGAAGCAAAGACCAAAAAAAGCTTCAAATAAGAAATGGACCGAAGAAAAGCTTTTCTGGATCCAGAAAGATACATCATCGCCGTCGAATTATAAATCTTTGTAACA